CTTTAAAACTTCTGTGATATTACTTGCTAAATTATTCTTTTGTTTAGGTCTGCAGCCCCTTTATGTTCGTGTTTCCTAGATTATTTTCAAATCAAATTTTGCAATTTCGATAATGGTATACTCGTATCTTGTGCCTCATTTTCATAAGCTTGAAATCCTTATCAACAGTGAGGTGGAATTCATAGTTTTCATTCCATTCTGAAAGTCTATTTAGGTCATGGTGCAGAGTGTTAGAATCCACGTCTCTATATATATGTATCGCCCTATTTAGTCACCTTTGGTATATCTACCAATGTTTTGGTTCACTGTTTTATTGACACTATGTATAAGGTGAACAGTGGAGACCCCGGGACAGAGCTGCAGTACTGTACTACATTTAATGGCCCCAAACAATCACTTACTCCATACCTGCTGGACAATACGGGTTCAGAACAGGGGGCGCTCCTGCCTCCCACAATTGCCCTATGACATCACTTTACCTGCCCCGGAAAACAAGCAAAATGCTGATGATAATGATACATAGATTTCGCGAAAGCTTCTCAACATACTCTAAACATAAGGGGGTATAACTGGCCGACCCCCTCACAGCCTTCAAATGAGAAATTGACAAAACACCTCCAAAGGATACCTAATGAACCAGGCTTGGATTCGTACGTGAGGCTGTAAGCAGCCGCGCCTAACAGCCTGGTTGACCCGACCAGCAACCAGGAGGCCTGGTGAAGCAACACAAGATAATGTAATGCCCTGGTTCCTGTGTGACCTGGATCATGGCATCATCCTGTGACCTGGATCATGGCATCATCCTGTGACCTGGATCATGGCATCATCCTGTGACCTGGATCATGGCATCATCCTGTGACCTGGATCATGGCATCATCCTGTGACCTGGATCATGGCATCATCCTGTGACCTGGACCATGGCATCATCCTGTGACCTGGATCATGGCATCATCCTGTGACCTGGACCATGGCATCATCCTGTGACCTGGATCATGGCATCATCCTGTGACCTGGACCATGGCATCATTCTGTGACCTGGACCATGGCATCATCCTGTGACCTGGACCATGGCATCATCCTGTGACCTGGACCATGGCATCATCCTGTGACCTGGACCATGGCATCATCCTGTGACCTGGACCATGGCATCATCCTGTGACCTGGATCATGGCATCATCCTGTGACCTGGACCATGGCATCATCCTGTGACCTGGACCATGGCATCATCCTGTGACCTGGACCATGGCATCATCCTGTGACCTGGACCATGGCATCATCCTGTGACCTGGACCATGGCATCATCCTGTGACCTGGATCATGGCATCATCCTGTGACCTGGACCATGGCATCATCCTGTGACCTGGATCATGGCATCATCCTGTGACCTGGATCATGGCATCATCCTGTGACCTGGACCATGGCATCATCCTGTGACCTGGATCATGGCATCATCATGTGACCTGGATCATGGCATCATCCTGTGACCTGGATCATGGCATCATCCTGTGACCTGGATCATGGCATCATCATGTGACCTGGATCATGGCATCATCCTGTGACCTGGACCATGGCATCATCCTGTGACCTGGACCATGGCATCATCCTGTGACCTGGACCATGGCATCATCCTGTGACCTGGACCATGGCATCATTCTGTGACCTGGACCATGGCATCATCCTGTGACCTGGACCATGGCATCATCCTGTGACCTGGATCATGGCATCATCCTGTGACCTGGACCATGGCATCATCCTGTGACCTGGATCATGGCATCATCCTGTGACTTGGACCATGGCATCATCCTGTGACCTGGACCATGGCATCATCCTGTGACCTGGACCATGGCATCATCCTGTGACCTGGACCATGGCATCATCCTGTGACCTGGACCATGGCATCATCCTGTGACCTGGACCATGGCATCATCCTGTGACCTGGACCATGGCATCATCCTGTGACCTGGACCATGGCATCATCCTGTGACCTGGATCATGGCATCATCCTGTGACCTGGATCATGGCATCATCCTGTGACCTGGACCATGGCATCATCCTGTGACCTGGATCATGGCATCATCCTGTGACCTGGATCATGGCATCATCCTGTGACCTGGATCATGGCATCATCCTGTGACCTGGACCATGGCATCATCCTGTGACCTGGACCATGGCATCATCTAGTTTAAAAGCTCCTGTCCAATACCTCGTATCTCTCTACCCTTTTGTTTATTTAACCTTTCGTGTAGGAAAGTGTTAACGCTTCATACTAAAGTTTACGCATATAATACTGTGATTTATTATCACTGTTTATTGACTCTTGTATGTTTGAAAATAGTTAAAGCAATTGTGTCAAACATGGCCCTCCTCTGTGTGGTCCTCCTCTCAATGGTCCTCCTCTCTATGGTCCTCCTCTCTATGGTCCTCCTCTCTATGGTCTCCTCTCTATGGTCCTCCTCTCTATGGTCCTCCTCTCTATGGTCCTCCTCTCTATGGTCTCCTCTGTATGGTCCTCCTCTCTATGGTCCTCCTCTCTATGGTCCTCCTCTCTATGGTCTCCTCTCTATGGTCCTCCTCTCTATGGTCCTCCTCTGTGTGGTCCTCATTTGTAAAGCCATGTTGTGGATCTTTTAGTCATCTGTACATTTAGTAATTTGCATGAGTGATATTTACGACTGTTGGCTCTAGTAATTTTCACATAATTGGCATTAGATTAATTGGATGGTAGTGTGTACCTCACCTATTTGTACTCATCTATTTGTGCTTGCGGGGGGGGGGGTTGAATTCTGGCTCTTTGGTCCCGCCTCTCAACTGTCAATCAACTGATGTATAGATTTCTGAGCCTACTGGGCTCTATCATATCTACATTTGAAACTGTGTATGGAGTCAGCCTTCACCACATCACTGCCTAATGTAGTGTGTGTGTGTGTGTGTGTGTGTGTGTGTGTGTGTGTGTACTCACCTAGTTGTACTCACCTAGTTGTGCTTGCGGGGGTTGAGCTCTGGCTCTTTGGTCCCGCCTCTCAACCGTCAATCAACAGGTGTACAGGTTCCTGAGCCTATTGGGCTCTATCATATCTACACTTGAAACTGTGTATGGAGTCAGCCTCCACCACATTGCTTCCTAATGCATTCCATTTGTCAACCACTCTGACACTAAAAAAGTTCTTTCTAATATCTCTGTGGCTCATTTGGGCACTCAGTTTCCACCTGTGTCCCCTAGTACGTGTGCCCCTTGTGTTAAATAGCCTATCTTTATCAACCCTGTCGATTCCCTTGAGAATCTTGAATGTGGTGATCATGTCCCCCCTAACTCTTCTGTCTTCCAACGAAGTGAGGTTCAATTCCCGTAGTCTCTCCTCGTAGCTCATACCTCTCAGCTCGGGTACTAGTCTGGTGGCAAAGCTTTGAACCTTTTCCAGTTTACTCTTATGCTTGACTAGATATGGACTCCATGCTGGAGCCGCATACTCCAGGATTGGTCTGACATATGTGGTATATAATGTTCTGAAAGATTCCTTACACAAGTTTCTAAAGGCCGTTCTTATGTTAGCCAACCTGGCATATGCTGCTGATGTTATCCTCTTGATATGAGCTTCAGGGGACAGGTCTGGCGTGATATCAACCCCCAGGTCTTTCTCTCTCTCTGACTCTTGAAGTATTTCATCTTCCAAGTGATACCTTGTATCTGGTCTCCTGCTTCCTACTCCTATCTTCATTACATTACATTTGCTTGGGTTATACTCTAACATCCATTTGTTCGACCATTCCTGCAGCTTGTCCAGGTCTTCTTGAAGCCTCAAGCTGTCCTCCTCTGTCTTAATCCTTCTCATAATTTTGGCGTCGTCAGCAAACATTGAGAGGAATGAGTCTATACCCTCTGGGAGATCATTTACGTATATCAGAAACAGGATAGGTCCAAGCACAGAGCCCTGTGGGACTCCACTGGTGACTTCCCGCCATTCTGAGGTCTCACCCCTCACTATAACTCTCTGCTTCCTATTGCTTAGGTACTCCCTTATCCACTGGAGCGCCCTACCAGCTACTCCTGCCTGTTTCTCCAGCTTATGCATCATCCTTTTATGGGGTACTGTGTCAAAGGCTTTCCGACAGTCCAAAAAAATGAAGTCCGCCCATCCTTCTCTTTCTTGTTTAATCTTTGTCACCTGATCATAGAATTCTATCAAGCCTGTAAGGCAAGATTTACCCTCCCTGAACCCATGTTGATGGGTTGTCACGAAGTCTCTTCTCTTGAAGAGAAGAGACAAGAACTTCTCTTCGAAGTCTTGTGTGTGTGTGTGTGTGTGTGTGTGTGTGTGTGTGTGTGTGTGTGTGTGTGTGTGTGTGTGTGTGTGTGTAGGCTAAGGCTCCTCCTCTCCCTCCTAGTTACTCCCCGCCCAACGCCGCCCATCACTAAGGTTCCCCGGCGATTTTTTCCATAAATTTCGCCAAATAGTCCGGCTCGTTTACGGTGTCTGTCGGGGGTCTGCGGGGGTGAAAAGAGAGAGAGAGAGAGGTAGATGAATGTATGGAGAGGGAGAGGGATAGAAGGAGGAAAGATACGCGGGAGAGGGAGAAAGGGATGATAAACAGGGGAATCGGGATAATACCAATTCTTCTTGCTTTGCCTGTCCTAGTAAGGAAGAGGAAATATGAGTTTTTTTTACATTAAAACTATAAATTCTAAGCTCCCATTTTCCCTCTTACCCAACCACTTGGGTTAGACGGTAGAGCGACGGTCTTACTTCATATGCAGGTCGGCGTTCAATCCCCCCGACCGTCCAAGTGGTTGGGCACCATTCCTTTCCCCTCGACCCATCCCAAATCCTTATCCTGACCCCTTCCCAGTGCTATATAGTCGTAATGGCTTGGGCCATTCCCCAGATAATTCATTCCCTCCTTCCCTCCCTCCCTTTCCGTCTCTATATTATGTATATCGCTGACATGTGCTTGTTACTCTTGCTTTTGTTGCTAACACCTTGTTTATGTTGTCTCTGTGACAGGTGGAAGATGTGAGGGGGACATGTCTAACGCTGCTCCTCGCTCCTGCCTCAAGCCGCCACTGAGGTGAGTCGTATTAGTGAGTCATGTCCGTGAGTCATACCAGCGAGTCATGTCCGTGAGTCATACCAGCGAGTCATGTCCGTGAGTCATACCAGCGAGTCATGTCCGTGAGTCATACTAGCGAGTCATGTCCGTGAGTCATACTAGCGAGTCATGTCCGTGAGTCATACTAGCGAGTCATGTCCGTGAGTCATACCAGCGAGTCATGTCCGTGAGTCATACCAGCGAGTCATGTCCGTGAGTCATACTAGCGAGTCATGTCCGTGAGTCATACTAGCGAGTCATGTCCGTGAGTCATACTAGCGAGTCATGTCCGTGAGTCATACCAGCGAGTCATGTCCGTGAGTCATACTAGTAAACAGTAGCACATAATAGCATCCAGATGTAAATTTCCTATTCCTCTTCATTCTGTCAATTTAAACAGAACCTGGGTTCTGAATCACCAGGACTCATCAATACCCCGGGTCTTAGCTCAACGGTAGTTTTCAATACCTGGGTCCTGGACCAACAGATGGGTCCAGGATCAAAAGGAGTCTTCAGCGTCCGGCTCCTGGGCCAGCTGGAGTCCCCAGGTGGAGCACGAGGATAGAAACATTCACGTCCATAAGGGAGCAAGAGCCCCGTCGTCCGTCAGTCGCAGCACCCCGGCAAGTGTGAGAGATGTTGCATCATATCAGGAGCCAGAGGCAAACAGCGCACTCAACGCGGGAGTGATTATTGACGCGTTGTCTGAGGGCGACGTTCTTAGTGCCCACATCGCCAGGCTTCGATCTCACGCCGCTAGGCTTCGATCTCACGCCGCTAGGCTTCGATCTCACGCCGCTAGGCTTTGATCTCACGCCGCTAGGCTTCGATCTCACGCCGCTAGGCTTCGATCTCACGCCGCTAGGCTTCGATCTCACGCCGCTAGGCTTCGATCTCACGCCGCTAGGCTTCGATCTCACGCCGCTAGGCTTCGATCTCACGCCGCTAGGCTTCGATCTCACGCCGCTAGGCTTCGATCTCACGCCGCTAGGCTTCGATCTCACGCCGCTAGGCTTTGATCTCACGCCGCTAGGCTTCGATCTCACGCCGCTAGGCTTCGATCTCACGCCGCTAGGCTTCGATCTTACGCCGCTAGGCTTCGATCTCACGCCGCTAGGCTTCGATCTCACGCCGCTAGGCTTCGATCTCACGCCGCTAGGCTTCGATCTCACGCCGCTAGGCTTCGATCTCACGCCGCTAGGCTTCGATCTCACATCGCTAGGCTTCGATCTCACGCCGCTAGGCTTCGATCTCACGCCGCTAGGCTTCGATCTCACATCGCTAGGCTTCGATCTCACGCCGTCAAGTTGAAACAATTAGTCTGGTGTGCTGTCGAGGCCTCGCGCCGCTACATTCAGGCCAGACTCATCAACCAAATTTGTTGTCTGCACGCCGCGTACGTTAAGCGCCGCGTTGCACGCGCCAAGACCATCCAACAATGAAACTCTTGCCTGGTCGCTCAGTGAACTGAAATTTTCAAGTATTTTCTGCACGGCATCATCAGTATTTATAATATTATAGTCGAGGCACACAACAGCAGTCCCTCTGGACGCTGGGGACACGTTAACGCTTTAAATTATTATCGTCGGTAAGATTTAAGACTTGTTGCAGACTCGCAGAAGCTTCTTGCGAGACTTAGAAGAGCGTGTTGCAAGGTTGGAAGAATTTGTGTGAGAATCTCAGAGGCTTGTATGACCTGACCCCCTCCCCTCAAAAAAAAAAAATTGGCCAATGAAGTTACGACCCATGGCGTGGCCCATCCCACGTACATAGTGGCCCATCCCACGTACATAGTGGCCCATCCCACGTACATAGTGGCCCATCCCACGTACATAGTGGCCCATCCCACGTACATAGTGGCCCGCCCCACGTACATAGTGGCCCGGGGGTGAGCGACTATGCTGTAATCAATCACACTACGCTTCACTAAATGTAAGGACAGGTTGTTAGCCACCATCAGAGGGTTGTTCGGTAGTTGACCGTGTCATTCTGTAACCATTTATCATCTTAAGGGGGCTCTTAACCCTTTAGTGTACTTTAGTGACCTTGATCCAGCAGGTAAGTTGTGGGGAACGATGTTCATCCAGGCTGTTTGTGTTGGCAGGAACCCGTGGGTGGCGGAGGACGGCGCGGACAGCAGCACCTCGTCTGGGCAGCAGCAGCAGCAGCAGCAGGCGACCCATGACGCCCACGCCCACGATGTCCTTGCTCACCAGTATGCGACGCCCTACCACCCCACCACATCCCACACTGCGGCCCACCCCAGCCTCAGCGTGGCCCACTCCACCCACAGCGTGGCTCTCTCTTCCCACAGTGCGGCCCACCCGACTCACAGTGTGGCCCACGCGACCCATAGCGTGGCCCATCCCACTTACAGTATGGCCCATGCCACCTACGGTGCGGCCCACCCCACACTCAGTGCGGCCCACCCGGGTCATTGCATCAGCGCGGCCCATCCTGCGGTGAGCGTGGCTTGGGCCGCCCACGGCGTGGGCCAACACACCCACACCACCCACGGCGTGGTCCACTCCCACACTGCCCATTCCCTCCACAGCACCGCCCACGCCTTGCCCACAGCCGCCCACTCCGTTCACTCGGTCCCCGGGACGCTACAGCAACCATGGGTTGACCCACAGATGCTGTGGAGTACCCCGGCCCTCCCTGGCATGGGTAGTGCCCCCGGGGGAGTGTTCACTGTGGGGGGAGGAGCCGAGGGGTCGTGCCCAGTGCTAGCTGCGGGGATGTGTGCCCAGCCCCACCCCACACTGCACCCCATGCACCATCTCCCACCCGGTGAGTAACACTGCACTTCCTAATGGTAGTCCCACAGTAGTAGTGTCAAGTTAACAAGTTCACCCGGGGAGCCGGTCGGCCGAGCGGACAGCACGCGGGACTTGTGATCCTGTGGTCCTGGGTTCGATCCCAGGCGCCGGCGAGAAACAATGGGCAGAGTTTCTTTCACCCTATGTCCCTGTTACCTAGCAGTAAAATAGGTACCTGGGTGTTAGTCAGCTGTCACCGGCTGCTTCCTGGAGGTGGAGGCATGGTCGAGGACCGGGCCGCGGGGACACTAAAAACCCCGAAATCATCTCAAGATAACCTCAAGATAGCCTCATTATGCAGCTGTCCGCTGGCGTCCCCATATCCTTGTTTTTACCTTGATTGAAATCTAATAACCACGTGTTCGACCATGGCTCCAAGCTAACGCAGATCTTCCCGGCGCCTCTTGAAGGAGTCGTTCCTCTTGATCCTCTTCAGTTACTTGGCCTCAATTGCAATCATTGATACAAAGTAATCCAGTTCACCCAGCCGTGTTAATCCATTTTGTTAGGTAGTTATCCAGTCACTTTCGCGTTGCTAGTTAGCGGCAGAGTAATGATCCAACGATGATATTGCCTCATTAACTGTCGAATAGTAGTTAGACGGTATTAGTGTCACAGCGGAGGTGGATGACAATTCCGCAGTAGGCCTGGCTTCCGGGGGCAGGAAAACTCAAACTCGGCTATCATAAGTCACAGGTAAATCACAGGTATTACCGAATTAATATTGACATTAGCTGTGTCGACAGGTGGAGGCGGGTCGAGCGGGCAGACGTCGACCAGTGGTGGGTGGGGCGTCCCCCCTCCCACGCTCCCTCCCCAGGCAGGTGAGTCAGAGTGAGAGAGAGAGAGAGAGAGAGTGAGTCAGAGAGAGAGTGAGAGTGAGAGAGAGTCAGAGAGAGAGTGAGAGTGAGAGAGAGAGAGTGAGTCAGAGAGAGAGTGAGAGTGAGAGAGAGAGAGTGAGTCAGAGAGAGAGTGAGAGTGAGAGAGAGAGAGTAAGGAGGGTGTGTAGATAATAATAACCATCACTAATACCACAACTGACCAGTATAACTGCCACCGGGTGTGTGCCTCACAGGTGTGTCTTCTGCAGGAGGTGTGGGCGGATGGGGTGTGGGAGGACGAGCCCTGGCCGAGGGGTCGCGGTGTGAGAGATGTCACTACTACTGCTTCAGGGCGGCGCAGGCGGCCTTCGTGGCGGGCATTGTCACCGGCTTCTCACTCCTGGTGGCGGGCGGCGTCTTCCACAGGCAGCACGTCGCCCATCTTCAGGTACTCCACCCACTCCCGCCCCCACACTCAGGGCATGTTAGTACTCCACCCACTCCCGCCCCCACACTCAGGGCATGTTAGTACTCCACCCACTCCCGCCCCCACACTCCAGCATCCCCCCTAGTAACCCATACCCCGCCTACTGTCATCATTCATATTAGGGGACTCCAATATTTTATCCTCCGGTCGATCTCAGACCCGAAGATCCTAATAATCTTGCAATGTTCAGTCGTGTCATATTTGTGTATTATCTCCTCTGAGGGGAACATTTACTTACGTTAAGCACTACTGTGTTCTTTGGCGTTAAATCTCTTAACTTGATATAAGGTTCTGTGAGGCAGTGTTGCTCTGAGACCTTCCTATAGTCTTAGTTAATGTAATAATATGTAAGGACACCATCTCGTGTAACCATGTCATTTATATTTTAAGATGGAATTATCTTCTTTATCGCTTCTGTGCTAGGATTCGTCAAGCGTTTATGTATCGATCTACGAAGCCTTTACATCTTTTCTGCATCATGGTAGTTTAGTGTGTTTATTAAACAGTTTACGAGCTGGGGAAACTGCGAGGTCGCCCAAGGTGATTGGAGTAGGGGTTGTCAGCGAAGCAGTACTGGAGAAAAGTACACACGTCCTCAGTTGTGAGTCGTGTGTAAACCACTGTTCATTCTTAAACAGGGTGGTTCGGAGGCTGGATTAGCGAGCATTTGTCCTTTGTTAATGAGGACGGACTTCATTAGTGATAGAAAACGTGCCCAACTATTTCAGCCCACCCCCGAGATTCGAACCCGAGATTCCCGATTGTCGAGAAAGAAGTCAGCTGGACCGAAAACCCTTGTTCGATACGCGGAGAAATATCTACAGTATATACCTGACGAAAAGTTAAATACCTTAATTGTGAAGACATTGGGGTAGCTACAGCTCCGGTCTGCCTCCTCTGATGTACCAAACCTCAGCCAGGGAACGGCCGGCCGTCCACTTATAGCGACTTCACTCTTCTGTGTTCTAGCTGGTCGCGTTATGAACCATCTTGGATACTATCTCAGTCGCTTAAGGCGTGCGTCTGGGATCCTCTCGGAAGTAGGTTCAAAATCTCATCACGGTCCTCGTGGATTTGTTCACTATCTCACTCGCTAGTGTGAGACCCGAGTCAAGCGTTCGAAGCTCTCGACTCAAGTTGTTCACGCTATACACAACCCGTTTTCTTTGAAGTGTGTTGTTGAGTTTTTGTTTTTATTGTATATATCTTTATCCTCTATTTTATATGTAACTTATTTTAGGTTTTTAATATTTAGTCATTTTCAAGTCTTAATTTTTTTTTAATTTTCAACTACATGTTAATGTTTTAGTTAATCTTGTGTTGTATTTCTTTATTTTAGCACAGGTGATGGAGTTATAACTTTGAAAAGTTTGTTATTTTACATAAACTGAAGATACATATCTTTTTCACTTATTTTATAACTTAATCAAGGTGAACTTTGTGTATTTACCAAACAATATATTTGATAAATTTAGATATTGATTAATGTACTGTATATATAGGTAGGAGAATGGGGCCAGATTCACGAAGCAGTTAATCAAGCACTTACGAACCTGTCTCTCTTTTCTCAACCTTTGGCGGCTTTGTTTACAATTATTAAACAGTTAATGAGCTCGGAAGCACCAGGAGGCTGTTTATAACAATAACAACGGTTGATTGTGAAGTTTTCATGCATGTTAACTCTTTAATAAATGTAACCAAAGCCGTCAAAGATTGAGAAAAGATGTACACGTTCGTAAGTACTTGCGTAACTGCTTCGTGAATCTGGCCTGGGGGTGACAGGGTCCAGGAGTAGAGTTCACCATGACAATCCGCGGTCACCAGGTTCAGCTGTTCACCACACCCTCCCTATACCCCACAGGTCCTGGTGTACATCGGTGCCATGGTCTCTCTCGTGTGTGTGGTGCTACTGGTAATATTCTGTGCCATGAACAGGGACCACAGGACTAGACGCGGTGTGTCAGTGCGCTATTCGGGGCCCCAAGTGGTTGTGGGGGACCCTGAGACTATGCCCCTCAGGGGCATAGATGTTACTAACCCTATAGTGATCCCCTGTGACCATGGTCCACGCCCCGGGGATGGGGGCCCCAGTGTGGAGCTTCTCCATCAGACCAATCATAGCTCGTGTATGGTCCCACCGCCGGCCACTCACGGTGGATGCATCGTCGGACCAACCAATCAAAGCGTGTGTTTCGTACCTCAAGCCAATCATAACGCTGGTAGTGTAAAGGGATCATCAGCCAATCACGGAGGTGTGGCCGCGTCCGAAGCGTCGCATCACATCTCACAGGCCAGACATGCTCCCCAGAAGTGAGTGTTTGTGTTGATATCATGTGCTTCTGTTTTCCCATTCTCTCAATTTTTTTCCAGGAATTGCGATGAAGATACCGTTAACAGGAGTCACAACGTGGACATGTAGACATTTGACTGAGACGTCTCGGTGCAATAAAGCTTCTGTTGTAGGTGACTTTCATTTCAGTAGAATAAACAGGGGCTGATAAAACAGGGAATGGACAGCCATTTCTCACCTTCATCTGTCACCTGTAAACCTTCATCTGTCGCCGTCACTCATCTTGTGTAACGCCAACTGTCGTCTCTAGTGTATAGTAGAGCTCTCTTAACCTGTACCTTAACTCGCCTTCTCATCTAACACTTCGGTTATTTTCACACAGCAATAACCAGCCTGTTATTGCGCGCACGGCAATACTGACATTTTGCGCGCATCGGCCTCGATACGTTAAGTGGGTTGCTTTGGGTTCGTACGTTTTTGATTAGATAAGACAGTTGCGAGTTTTATGGAATGGCAAATTGAGAGAACATGCTCTCTATGGGTCGGTTTGTGTGTGTTCAAACTACAGAGTCGTGCTTGGCACAACCACACCAACCTGTAGACATACCCGCTGGATGCTTTAAGACGCAGTGTTGTCAAGTGCGGGTGATGGAGGGAGTCAAGTGCCGTGAGATGATTTCCCAGTATCTCCGTCCAGGTACTGGGATGAATTCCCAGTACCTCCGTCGAGGTACAGGATGATTTCCCAGTATCTCCGTCCAGGTACTGGAGTGAATTTCCAGTACCTCCGTCGGGGATTTATTGAGGGCTGCGAGTCGGAAAAAGAACTGGGGCCAGATTCACGAAGCAGCTACGCAAGGACTTAGGAACGCGTACATCTTTTCTCAATCTTTGGCGGCTTTGTTTACAATTATTAAACAGTTAATGAGCTCCAAAGTACCAGGAGGCTGTTTAAAACAACAACAGTTGTTTGGGAAGTTTTCATGCTTGTAAACTGTTTAGTAAATGTAACCAAACCCGTCAAAGATTGAGGAAAGATGTACACGTTCGTAAGTGCTTGCGTAACTTCATTGTGAATCTGCCCCTGGTCCTCCGCGGTGCATACCATCCCCTCACGTCTCGGAAAGAAAAGAAATGCCTCTGAAATTCTAACTCTGACATCGGTTTAATATGATCTTCGACTTCGTAGGGAATTAGTACACGTCCTTGGTAATATAAGCTTTAAAGAACACTCCTCCATTGATTTGTTATTATTTTAGAGTTTTTATGATTGTGAAAAAGTAGTTGTAAGTTTCAGACAGTTGTGAAAACCACCATCCAGGCCGTGTGAACGTTTCAAGACCAGGGCTCAGATTCACGAAGTAGTTACGCAAGCACTTACGAACGTGTACATCTTTCCTCAATCTTTGACGACTTTGGTTACATTTATTAAACAGTTTACGAGCATGAAAACTTGCCAATCAACTGTTGTTATGGTTATAAACAGCCTCCTGGTGCTTCGGAGCTCATTAACTGTTTAATAATTGTAAACAAAGCCGCCAAAGATTGAGAAAAGATGTACAGGTTCGTAAGTGTTTGCGTAACTTCTTCGTGAATCTGGCCCCAGCTTCTCCGGCCTTTGTTAAGAGACTAGTTATATAAGAGCGCTGGAGCCGTCATCCAGGTTAAGGAAACAGGTCCTGTGAGACTGCAGCAAGTCGACAGGACCAAGCGAGAAAGGTCTTGTATATGTGCAACCATTTTCACCTGTGCGTCTTTCCAACATATCCCTAAGCGTTTTTGTTCCTGGCTTGTGGTGCGAGGTTACCTTGAGGTGCTTCCGGGGCTTAGTGTCCCCGCGGCCCGGTCGTCGACCAGGCCTCCACCCCCCCAGGAAGCAGCCCGTGACAGCTGACTAACACCCAGGTACCTATTTTACTGCTAGGTAACAGGGGGATAGGGTGAAAGAAACTCTGCCGGGGCCTGGGATCGAACCCAGGACCACAGGATCACAAGTCCAGCGTGCTGTCCGCTCGGCCGACCGGCTCCCCAACGCATAATAAAGGCGCCAACTCACCAACTCACTGTAGCAGATGGTGATGAAGTAGCGGCCGGATGTTATAGTGATGACGTCAAGTTACCCCTCTAGAAGAGAAGGCTTGTTTGACAGTCGCGGTGCAGTTACACTCACAAGATGTAAATATTTTGAGATTGGGGGGTTAATCTGGCCCCGGGAGCGGCCCGAGGCCTTCCTCTACTACGGGTTCATAGCCTTCTTGCCTTACCAACAATAACAGCAAACTGTGATCTTCCCGCGGCAGAAAGTTAATATTAGTAGCATCATGCTAATAGTTATATGTAACCATTAATCTTAACAAATCATCTTGTTTAAATGAGAAGGTGACAAATTCATTAGCATGTACCTCGGAGGGTGGTCTTGAGATGCTGTGCTGACAAGTGCTGCCTGCACCCACTGTGTGGACACTACATTTACACACACACACACACACACACACACACGGTTGGAACAGTTTTTATTATTATTATTATTTTCTACCACAGACGTGGCCACACATTTACAATGCTAACCAGCATATATACATTTTCTTCTGTCCTCCATGGACAGGGTTAGAGATGTGTTAAACATATAGTTCAAGGGTTTATTGAACAGGTTGGAACAGTGGCAGACGGTTGGAATAAGGTAAGTGAGAAGGTGGTGGAGGCAAAAATCGTCAGTAGTTTCAAAGCGTTATACGACATAGAGTACTGGGAAGACGGGACACCACGAGCGTAGCTCTCATCCTGTAACTACACTTAGGTAATTACAGGGGCCGGTGGCTGACTGGACAGCACGCTGGGCGCGTGATCCTGTGGTCCCGAGTTCGATTCCCGGCGCCGGCGAGAAACAATGGGCAGAGTTTCTTTCACCCTATGCCCCTGTTACCTAGCAGTAAAATAGGTACCTGGGTGTTAGTCAGCTGTCACGGGCTGCTTCCTGGGGGTGGAGGCCTGGTCGAGGATTGGGCCGCGGGGACACATATGCCCCAAAATCATTTCAAGATAACCTGCACCCCATACCCATCCATACCTTGCCTGTCATAAGACTGCCCTATAACAAGCTGGCTCACCAACTAGCAAGTATGCTTTACTCCTCAATATACTGTCAAGCCAAGGGGGAGAGAGGAGCCAGGTCTGGCCGGGGAGGTGCTGGGGGGATGGAGGGCCCAGTGTGCTTCTCAACAAACGACTGCGGCGAGTCTAGAAAATTACCCACCTCAATCTTGACTTATTTATGAGTCCGGGTAAAGTGTAGAGATAATATTTTCCCTCATTATTTATGGTTTCTCTCTCTCTCTCCCCTTGCTTGGGGTGCGGGAAAGGCCACTGAGAGAGACTCGGGCCATTACCATAACAATTAGTGTTAGGTAGTAAGTAGTAAGTGAAGTAGGGCGACCATACACCAGGCAGAGTTCTCCATTAGCATGTACTTACTCCACTCCGCCTGGCTCTTCCCAGTAAACGTTCTTATTAATGATCTTGTAAACTGTCATGTCTCCGGGGTCGTTCTTGTCCTCCACACTGAGGCGATATGGAAATGTGGAGTGTAAAATATCTACTTATACACTCCTGCTTTTATGTGAGGAACTTTTTTTCATTTAAAACTCCGTCACAGTCTTACCAGAATACTCCACTCACTGGGGAAAGGACGAGTTTTGAAAACTTGTAATTAAGTTAATAAGTCTTGGTAATGACCCTACAAACAATTAGTCAAGGAGAAAATAATGTTACATTCTGGCTTTCTGTAACCATATTTCCCACTTTCTGCTGTTAGTGTCGAAACAGAAGGCACTAAACAAGCCGATTACAAATTGGAACATGTCTTAATATTAATCTCATCATTTCAAATTTAAAGTTTCTACTAGAAACAAATTGGTTATAAGAATTCACCTTATAAACTCTCTTAAACAAGCGAATTGTAAAACTATGTGAAAAAGTTGAGAAATTTAATTTTTTTTTTTTTTTTGAGATATATACAAGAGTTGTAACATTCTTGTACAGCCACTAGTACGCGTAGCGTTTCGGGCAAGTCCTTAATCCTATGGTCCCTGGAATACGATCCCCTGCCGCGAAGAATCGTTTTTTCATCCAAGTACACATTTTACTGTTGCGTTAAACAGAGGCTACAGTTAAGGAATTGCGCCCAGTAAATCCTCCCCGGCCAGGATACTGTAACGGTTCTATTGTTACGTAAAGTATGGTGACAAATAAACACAGACACTAAGATACTATATATATATTTGGTCGAATATACAGAAGTACACAGGTGATACTTTGGTGTGAGTTGAGCGCACTGAGCGTCGGTACAGTATCTCGCAAGTGTCTGCTCTAGACCACACTTGAAAGTAGACTCTGGTTAATGTTTGCTATTCTGCTGCTTATATGCTCGGGCAACACCTCACCATGTTGCCCGGGCAACGCCACAATGCATTTGGAGCGAGTATATTATTGGGATAATCTACTCGCTACAGAACTTCCCCTCCCAGGGGATGAAAGGAAAAATACTTGATCAAGGAACTTAGCTGGTCGGTGAATTGTACGCCCTGCTCGCGTTACATAACCATCAAAGTTAACTTCCTCCTCTTCGCTGATGTCATCTAACTGGGGTCGTAGGGTGGGAGGTCGCACAGGATCGTCCGTCGTCGTAGGTGGCGGTGCTGCTGGTAACTGGGGTTGTAGGGTGGGAGGTCGTACAGGGTCGTCCGTTGTCGTAGGTGGTGGTGCTGCTGGTAACTGTGGTCGAAAAGTGAACTGCGTAGTCGGCGGATGTGTCTCTGGATTTAGCAGTGTCGCAGACGTTTGAGACGAAGCCTGGAGCAGAGCAGAGAGCTGAGTGAGGCCGGAGTTGTGGAGCTCTATGTGGGAGAGCGTGGCGGCTCGATTGAGAATTGTGAGTGTCTAAACTCGGGGAGCGAGAGCGTGGCGGCTCGATGCGGTCGTAGTCTGCTGTCTGCTCTGTGTCGAAGCTGTAGCTTGATTAGGACTGTACACGCCGAGTACTACATTGTTGACTGTGGAAATTGTAGTCTGGTACCAAAAGATGTAGGCAGTGTGTGGCCAAGCTCGGTGTAGCAGGAGAGAAGAATGTGCATAATTGTTGCATTCTTGGGTCGCTGGTACGAACCCATGACATAGCGCTCGCGGAACGCCAGGCGAGTGTCTTACCACTACACCACGGAGACTGCCTAAAATAATGGTGTTTCAGGTCTTTGTTCAGGTCTGTGGTTGTTAGATGACATTGGTATATCTTGACCAGACCACACACTAGAAGGTGAAGGGACGACGACGTTTCGGTCCGTCCTGGACCATTCTCCAGGTCTGGAGTATATCTTGTATACTCCATATACATATCTTGTTGACATAGCAACAAGATATTCCAGCTGGGGTCATACAGTACCCCGGTCTTAATTTAATTCTATGCTTTTTTAATGTCAGGAATGTAAAAGCATTTAGACCATTTGGGTTATTCAACATGGTTTATTTCTTCACTTATCTATGTTTAATGATTTTGAATATGTTATAGTCTTTCCGGCTTGGTGCCTTCTTTTGATAATTACTTACTTATACTGTATAATAAGAAACTGAAGCATTCATGCCAAATATTTTTTATTAGGCTATGAATTTTATAATTTATTTCATAGTAAACAATTCTAACAAAATATGCAGAAAAGACTAATTACATTATATATTTACGTTAGTTACCCATTCTTATATTCTAAATGACTATTCATTTAAAATTTTTAATTTATACTTTATATGTGTTTTAATTACATTTCAGCCTCTCAGAATTAATAAACAAAATGTATCTTAATAAGGTAAACCTTGGCCTGGCAGAGCTGAGCAGTCTACACTGCTTTATACCTGTTATTATGTACTCAATTTTATGTTAAATATAGATACTGTACTAACTACTTTCGTCTAAAATTCAAAATTTATTCTGTAGTTGCCAATACAATTTGTATTATCAGAGAATGAAAATGCTTTGCATGTTTAAGTGTTTCCTATCCTAGTGGTATAAAAGAATGAGATAAGTCTCCAAACACAACTAGTTTTATAGATGCAGTAACTCTTCCTTACAGAGTTGACGAGGACTGCGAGGCAAGTCAACGCTACAACCTCCTGTGGAAGCAATCTAGTAAAGCATCCTCGGAAACGGCTTCCAAACTGTAAAGGATCACTCCATGTTGCTGAATAACCGAGGGCATTTATGCAAGAGAGAACTACTTATCACACACGTGTTGGCCAATTACAGTTTTCATAATACTTTGAGTTATTCATTGTAATCTGGCAGTAGTAATATGTGCCTCCATTTGAAATGATGTTGCAAGAATGGAATATTATCTCCAGACACATCTGCAGTGGAGCTATCCACTGGTGACTTAAGACAATAGTAGAAGACCGTTTCAAAGTTCTTTGTATGATAGTGTACAAATACCGAAGTTGCTGTGATGAATACTGAACTTCATTGTGAATGTTCAAAAACATTCATTACTTTATACTACTAAACATTTAGTAACCTTTTATAAATGGGCTTTGAGTGCTCTGGGTAGTTAATTATGCAGTACGTTTAACACAAATTGTATAAAGTGTTTAAAACTATTAATTGAGTGTTAGTTAATGTGGAGCTTGTTAGGCCAATCTGTGAAATAACTAGCTGTTTATAAAAAATATATATATGTACAGTATACACAATACTGAATGACAGGAGACTGTTGTTGAAGATACCTCACGGCACGCACACATCCTTGATACTCAAGGGATCTTATTTTGAATTCAGCCAAAGTTACTTAAAATACTCGGTACTTTGAGAATTGCAAGACACTCTGTAGATAAGGTTAAACTTAAGCTAAAGAAGGCACTGAATGAGAAATGAAGTTTGTGTTATGTGTATCTGACGAGGAAGATGCTAGTCATTGCTACTGTATATGTTTAATTTATATTTTTGCCCTAAAGTGCTATTTTATATTTGTTTTAATTAATCGGTTAAATTAGCTATTATTTAATATGTTTTCTGCAGTGTATAATTAAAAAACATGCAAGTATATACTGTATATACACATGAAAACACACTAGCACTGAAGTGGAATTTGAGAGACCTACATACCAAGTCCAATTTTTTTAGGTTAAAATCAACCCAATCTTTAAAAGGAGCTGAAAGGGGTATAGTACTGTTCTTTTTTATTGCACACATTTCCAATTACAGTACTATAAAGTATTATACAGTACGTACCTGTATGTGAAAATGGTACCAATTACTCATAACAGTTGAACTAAAGATTGTAGAGCCCATGTACATAATTTCAATGGTGTGGTTCAGTTAACCCTAAAATACTGCTACATCAAGTAGTCTCAGAGTTAGAAGCAGCAATGTACAGTACTGTATTCATGGATGTTCTGGCATCTTTTAATAGGCTGTCATTGCTGAATGGTAAGAGAGAACTTTTATCTTGGCAGCAGGATATCACAAGATCTTGGGTCTGTATACCACTGAGTGCTAGTGTGTCTTCACATACAGTGCACTATGTTACATAATACAGTCATGTTTAAAAGTGTATGTATATATATATATTTGTGTGTGTGTATGTGTGTGTGTGTGTATTTACCTAAGTGGAATTGCCTAAGTTACAGGATGAGAGCTATACTCGTGATGTTCTGTCTTCCCAGAATGCCATGTGACGCTTTGAAACAATTGACAGCTTTGGCCTCCATCACCTTCTCACTTAACTTGTTCCAATCATCGACCACTCTGTTTGCAAACGTGAACTTTCTAATGTGTTTTTAGCAGCTTTAACCTAACCTCTTGCTCTTGAAGTTGCAGTTTTCAAATATATTTCTTTGTCAATTTTGTCGATTCCTGTTACTATTTTGTACATTGTGATCCTATTCCTTTTCCTTCTATCTTCTAGCTTTTGTATGTTTAATGCCTCTAATCTCCCCTCGTAGCTCTTGTGTTTCAGTTCTGTGAGTCATTTAGTTGCATGTCTTCGCACTTTTTCCAGTTTACTGATGTACTTCTTGAGAATTGGGCACCATACAACCACTGTATATTCCAACTTTTGTCTCACAAAGATTGTGAACATTTTCTTTAATATTTTGCCATCCATGTACTTAAAAGCAATTCAAAAATTGGAAAGCAGAGCATATGCTCCTCACACAATGTTCTTTATGTGGTTATCAGGTGACACTTTTCTATCCAGAACCACACCGAGATCTGTCTTGATCAGAATTCTTTGAAGATTTTTCACATAAATTTGTAGGTTACATGTGACCTATTTTTCCTATTTCACATTCCATAACATGGCATTTATTTTCATTAAATTCCATTTGCCAAGTGTTGCTCCATACACTTATTTTGTCAAGGTCTTCTTGAAGGTCATGACAATCGTCTAAGTTTCTCATAGTATTTTTTCTCTAGTATTTTGGCATCATCAGCAAACATGTTAATATAATTCTATATATCTTCTGGTAAATTATTTATATAGACAATGAACATTACTGGTGCTAGAAGTGAACCCTGTGGTGTTTTCACTAGTAGCAGTAACATAACAATGCTTCTGATTACTTCCCTCATTTTTTGTCAGCCAGAAAAGTTGTCATCTATGTTAAAGGCCTCCCTGTTACTCCTCCAGTATGTTCCGGACTCCAGAACAATCTCTTGTGCGACACTCTATCAAAAGCCTATTTTTAGGTCCAGATAAATGCAGTCAACCCAACTATCTCTTTCCTGTAAAATCTCTGTGGCTCTATCATAGAAATGAAGTACTGTACTGGTAGATTTATTACACAGAATCTTCCTGACCATGCTGTGTGTTTATTATAAAATTTCTCTCCAGGTGTTTTACCCATTTGGTTTTAATTATTTTTTTAATGTTTTAACTACTATGCTTGTCAACAGTATAGGTCTATATTTTAGTATGCAGTCTCCATTGCACAGTGGTAAAACACTTGCTTGTCACTTCGTGAGCGCTTTGGCCTGGGTTCGTATCCTGGCCGGGGAGGATTGACTAGATGCCAATCCTTAACTGTAGCCTCTGTTCACCCAGCAGTAAATGGGTACCAGGTTGTTCTCCATACAAGACAATTTACTTTCCATGATCACCTCAAAATTATCCCTTGCTTGAATTCTTTAGAACTTTTACACATGATTTGTAAGCTGAATGTGGCTTGGATTTACCTATTCTTCACTCCATTATGTGACGTTTGCCATGAATTGCTCTATGGACATATTTTGTCTAGGTCAATTTTAAGGGCATGATAGTTGTTTAGGCTTTTCATTATTCCCAGAAACTTAACAATATCTGCAACATACTCATGTAACTATTTCTTCAGGTAAATCATATGTATAATCAACATTACTGGCAAACCTTGTGGGATTTAACTAATGGCATTCCTCCTGTTCAATTCATTGCCTCTTGTCACTGCTTTTATTATTCTGTTTGTTAATTTTTAATTAATACTACAGTATTTCTCTTACTGTGTGTTCCAACTTCCAGAACAATCTTTTGTGATAAATTATATCTGAAAAAAAAGCTGGATAAAGTCTATCAAGAGATGGTTGGGCAGACTGCATCTAAACTCTTTATGGTCTTGTCATAAAAATATAGTAAATGTGTTACAAATTACTTTCCAGATCAAAAATCAAACTGTCTGTCTGTTATGCTATTTTTGAGAGATTCCATCCATTTAGTCTATTAGGTTTTCTTATGATTTGTCTACCACACTGGTCAGTGACACTAGTCGATAGTTTAATGAATCTTCTCTGTCACCAACTTTACATGCTAAAAGACTAGTCTGAATATACATAAGTTTAATAATAGAAGGAAAAATTACTTATTACTTAATCCTTCACCAATATTTTCTTTTTTGAGGTTGTCATTATTTCACTCCTATATTCTTAGTCAAGTTTTGTTTTCCACAGTTTCTCTTGCTCCGAAGTTTTGCAATGTCTTTTTTTTTATCTTTATCTGGTGTTTTCGTCTTCTAATTACTTGTTACACCAAGGACTCCATAAACTGTTTTTTAGCCATTTCTCTTATTCAATTGAGTTACTTTTTTGTTTCATCTTGTGGCAACTTCTCTTCCAACTAGGAACTCCAGCATTTCCTTATCTTTCTTGTATGCCATCCCTCTGCTTCATTTCTCTTTCTTCATCTATTAGCCATGCTACCACTAGGTATGTATATACAGTACCAGGATACAGTGATCATGTGCTTCTGCTGTGGTTAAATGTTGTTTATTTCATCAATGTCTGCTTCTCCCTGGGTGAATATCAAAGTTAGTGTGGCTGGTTAATCTATTTTCATTCTTGAAAGATTTTTTTTTAAATGTAATTTTTTAATTATATATATATAATATACAGTGGTGCCTCGATTAATGAATTTAATCCATTCCGGCACCGAGCTCGTCATGTGAAATGCTCGTCTTTCGAAACAACAACAACACTGCCGTCGGAGGCATCCGAGAACCAGCAGGAATGCTAGGAAGCACCATGTAGTTTGCTCGTTAATCGAGCAAAAGCTCGTCAATCGGGACAAATTTTCTGCAAGTGGCTCACTCATTACTCGAAATGCTCATGACTGGAGTCGCTCATCACTCGAGGTTCCACTGTATTTACATTGCATTATGAATGTTTTATGTATTGATGAGTGCCTGTATGTAAATTTGAATGTATATATATATATTGTGTGTTAAACAATCTTGGCCCTTGTAATTTTAAACGAAGGAATGTGATTTATAATCCAAAATAGAAATCCGGTATTGTGTAAGTACTCAACTTCATTATAAATTTTCTCTTCCTGCTACACAGAAGACTATTAATCATTAACACCAATATAATCCATATTCATGTCAAATGCAGTACAGGAAAAACTGTTCAGAATTTTATTTAAAAGTCCTGCCTACAGACCAAAATCTATCTTTATTTCTGATGTACTTAGCTTCCTATTGTGTAATGTTATACAGTATATTTATTTACTTTGTCACTTATTTTTTGTATATAATAATTATTTTGTTGAGGCTGTTATATTTTGTAAGTAGAATGTTAAATAATCAACTTCTGTTGGTACGAGAGAGAAGCACAAACTTTGTAAGAAAAGCTATTTTTGAGACTGCAGATCCAACACTTTTGTAAACTGTTAACCAGATGGTTTATTTTTAGCACTAAATATCTGAGACTTTCTAGTATCCACTTTGATATCTGTATGACATCTGGGTTGGTGTAAAATGACATTAAAATTTCTCCTTATAAACAAAGATTTTCTTTTGTATCATCATTTTTTTTATCAGATACAGTATAGCATTAAAAGTTCTAATCACTTAGGAACGAGTCATCAACACTGTTGGATTGCCAAATCCCATGAGCCCTATTGGTTGCCCAAGACAATTAACAAATTTGCAGACAGAGCCACAAACTTATGAGTAACACGGGCATGAGGGCAGACCACAGAGTGGGTAAATTGGATGACACAGCTGAACACCCGAGACAAACAGGCCCTGGAACAATGAACCACGGACACTATGGAGAACATCTCCAGTCTGGACAGAACCTGGAGCAACAGCTGAACTGGAGGAAAGGGGTAAAGAAGCCTTCATCAACCCAAGTAAATCAGAAGCCACTGGGGTCCAAGTAAGTCGATACGAATAGGTCCCCCTTGGGATAGCTGAACATTTGTAAAGCTAATAGAAGGATGCATCGTCAACTGTCCATTTGGTGGCAATGGGGCAAAAACAAGAGACCAGTCACCAGAATGTTGCACACACCTCAAATGGAAACAGAACCAAGAGCCAAATCCCAGGAAGTCAGAAGACAAGTTATCCATAGCAACCAGTCCCATAAGGAAGACTGAAGCAACCCCCTCCCCTTCCCCTCCCCAAAGTGATTCGGAAAATTAAATACTGGGGAAAAGAGTGGAGCTGGAACATGGAACCAGCTTGGAGATGAAGAAACAGCAGTGTGTTGACTGTCTTGGCAGTGGTGAAAGGGACAGAACAGAAGAAAAGGCATAACATTCAGAGTCAAACCCTGACCAGAAGATAAACCACACAGGCGAAGTTCAGACTCCTGCAGAGCCACTCGAGCAAACGACGAGAGACCCAGGGGGACAATCCACCACCAGCTGGAGACAAGTTTCCAGGTGGAGCATGGACACATGTGGGAGAGGGAAGTCAACAGAATCCCAAACCAGGCCCAACCAGATACAAACCTGTGAGGGAGTAAGTAATTATCAAAAGAAGGCACCAAACCGGGAAACCTGTGAGGGACCAACTGGGACTTTTATTAATTTACAAGAAACCGGAATCTGGCAAGCTATGCAAGAACCAGATCCTTTGCAGTCTGTGACTGTCAAGGGTTTGCTGTCACATTTTCTATCGTTTGTTTAACTTGCTGTCGTTTGTTTTAATTCATCCAACTTCCTGGTGGTCCTTTCTTGGTAGGATTATTTTTCCATCCCCTGTTCCTCGAGCCTTTCTAGAGAGAGCCAGGTTTTGGCACTGGTTCCCAGTAAGCTTATTATGACTAGTAAAGGTCTGACATGGCCTGAAATGACTGGAGCTTGCCAGGCAGCCAGCACCAGGAAACCATTAATAGGAGCCCTCCCAGAAAATACAGTTATAAGTTAAGAAAATATATTTAATTTCATTAAGTCACACTAAAAACTCGACTCAATATATACATCAGTGAATAAAAACTGCAAAGAATAAAGAAAATGCTTTAGGACTCAAGCTCTTTTTATAATTCATTGCAATAGCAAGTAGGCATTTGTTTTATCTTGTCAGCTATTAGGCTCTTCAGCAATTATTACAAGGTTGAATGTTCTATTCTTAAGGCAAATATATGTTCCTAATAAGTAACTGACTAATGGTACAAGTGTTTGATTTACTATTATAAACTTTGAACATGTAGAAAATTGACTTTCCATGTCAATTACAGTATATGTAATCCTTATCTAATATCATAAAACAAAGCCCTGCAGGCTAAACATAGCAAATCCACTATTCATTCATCATCATCTGTATCACTTCCAAAGACTTCTTCACCTTCTCCCACTGCCTTAAACATTTGACTTAAGTTAGATGATGCTGCCCAGAATTTTTTAGAAGCTGCTTGTGCCTCGGCTGCAACCTCTGCATGAAAACCAATATTTTGACCATCAGAAAACAGCTGCATACGCTCATCTAAGGTTTCTGTTTGTCGATTAGGAACAGTGATGATGCTCCAGTCTATATGGGGAGAATTGTCCTGGTCTATTTCTTCATTATGGATAAACTCTTCATCCATTTTTTCATCTAATTTATAAATTGAAGTTTTCGTTTCCCCAACGGGTTCAGATTTGAATTCGGTCATCAATGTTTCACTTTCACCTTCCTGTAATGCAGCACAAGTTACAGCATCATGATTCACAAGACCAAACTTGAGATAGGAATAAGCATCTGTACCAAAATTATCATTGTCACTCCTACGAAGTTCTGCACTCTTTTCTTGACTGTGTAGCTCTTCGTTTCCATATTCTTGGTCAGATAGACTGTCACTAATCTCTTTATATGCTCTCCCATCTTCCATAAGTATAATCTGTTTTTCCTCTATTCGGTACCGATTTTCATATTCTAGATCTTCAAAGTTAGAAGTCTTAAATTCTGTAGAGCCTTCATGACTTTCAAATGGCATGAGCACACTTCCTTCTTCCTCATCCTCTTTTATTCTTCTTTTCTCATCCTCATCCAATTCATGCTTGAGCTTCCTGTATTCTTGTAATCTCTCTTCATCACTATCTATTTCCTCAACATCTTTTTGTAAAGGTTCACAACCATTTATATCTTTCAACTGAGACGACTGTAGATAGTTGCCGGTAGCACGGCTCTTGCACAGAATGTCCGCTTCCCATACTTTTTGTTCCATCCTCACTTCTTGAGCTTCAGGCATAACACTACCATCATCTAAATTATTCAAAAACTCACCTTTACTATCTTCTTCATCCTTAGAGCTTTCTACCTTAAGAGTCTGTAAAAGATAGAATTTTTGGTTTTAAAAGATATATAAAAGATATCAGAACATTAACTTAAATGAAACTGTGGGAAAAAAATAATTACAATAAGCACTGCATATGGATATATACCCAAATAAAACACACACACACTCCAAACAAGATATATATGGAGCCATTTATCCATTTATGATACAACTTTGGTAAAGTAATTATGGATATATTTTTAGGCAAAAATGACTATGTTAAGTACAGTACAAGAATTTTGGCATTGTTACACTCTGAATGCAACTGAAAGAACAACACATTTCAATGTTAGCAAATGTTGACCAGACCACACACTAGAAATTGAAGGGACGACGACGTTTTGGTCCGTCCTGGACCATTCTCAAGTTGTTAGCAAATATAGCAAAATCAATCTGTGCTCTCTTATATAGCAAACAATGTAGCGAGACTTACCTGTGCCTTTTTTGTATGCTGCCTACTCAATGCAGCCATCTCCCGTTGTTCCCACATCTTCCTACGTTTTATTAAAATTGGCTGCAACTCGTTCAGCACTCTCTTTCCTTGTGCCTTTTGTTGTTTCAGTATTTGCCGTTCCTTTCTATTATTTGTTGTCCAGAAATCATTGTCACAATCTTCTCTCTGCTTGACTTTATACTCCTCATCAATATATGCCTCAAACACCTCGTCTTCTATCACAGATTCCTCAATGTCATTAAGCACAATAACTGACTTTTTGGCATCGTGCAATAAAGCATTGTTCACTTCGTCACTGGTATTGTGTTGGTGTTCCAACTTTGGCATCAGTTCACTGTCATTTTTACCATATTTTCGGTCAGCTCTTGCTTCTGCTTCTTCTAAACATCCTTGGCATGAATCTAACTCCGTTTTTAGCGCATACAGCTGTTCCCTTACATACTCATATGATGGTAAATTGTTACGATGTTCTTGTTCAAAGTCTTGGGTAAAGTTATTTGAAACATTTTCACTTTCAAACTTATTTTCAAGGTCCTGTACTCTGAATAATGCAGCTTGCATATGTAAACTCAGGCTATGTATTGCTATATACACATTCTTTTTCTTCTCTTCAAGGCTTGTTGGTTTTTCCTCTTCCTGTCTGTCTCGAAGCCAAAAAGATCTGGTATATTCAAGATTGTTCCCGAGGAATTTGGTTTCTCTCTTAACTACAACAACTTGACTGCTTGAAAATAATTTATTACGCATATCATAGAGCTTATCTAGCATCAATGGCTTATGAACACACAGGAGAAGCTCTGTCAAAACAGCTGAGAGCTGAAGCTTTGTGATGGCTACCCATTTCTGTTGAAAATATTTAATTGATATTAGACAAAGCTAATTGCATTCTACAACTTAATTACTCAAATTTATTAAGAGTGCTCACAGCCAAGTCAAGTACATTTTTCAGTCAGGTAATGTAAGAAAAATTACATTTGTGTCCCTTCTGGCAGACTTAATAAATAAAACAAAAATATCATAATCTAAAGAGCACTGTTCAGCTCAGATAAAGTACATACTGTATTATCATTTTGTAGAAGTAAGCATTTTAATAGTTTGACAGTTTTAAAGCCCTACAGCAGTGGACATGCTGGTATCTTCATATAGTCCATGAAGTGTCCTTCAAGTTTATTCAGGCTAGTAATCATTAACCTTCCGTGGGTATAATGAATCTTCAACAATTTGCCACAAGATAATTTCAAATTATTCATAATAATCATATTTACTGGCTTTAGACTTGCTCAAAATGTTTTACAATAATAAGGAATTTTGCAAAAGAACAAATTATTATACATTGTCTTATCTTTATATACAAAGTACAACTGTTCTCTGTCTAACTGAACTGCAAACTGAAGACAATTCCCCTGCAATCCCTAGAAAATTTTGATATATTTTACTATATATAAAGACATGTAATTAAATAAATAAAAATTATGGCATACATTACCTTCAAAAAAGTTATGTATTCAGTGTTACAACCACTTCCTTTAAAATCTGGTGCTTCCACTTTATTAAAGAGCTGCCTCATACAGGGATACTCTGGACTACACTGTCCTAAGTATTGATGGTTCTGATACAGGACTTGCCCCAAAGAGTTTAGAGCAGAGATGAGAGCAGAACAAAGGTTGAAACATTGTGGAAAGTCAGACTCCTCACTGAATGTGGCTGGGATAGATCCTTGAGCTCTAGGGTGAAAGAAATTTATACACTGTGTTGAAAAATATTACTGCTATTAAAATGAAATACACAAAAACAGTTTGATATTTAGTAAGTGCATAGGTGCCTTAACATGAAACACACACACAGTATGTAACCTGGTGTTGCTTGGGTGACAAACACCACAGTTTCACTACTCATTATCTTCATCACTGTAACCATTTTAACTACACACCATCACACCCTTCCCCCCCCCCTCTTTGCCATCTTTCCTACCCTTCACCACCTTCCTGACCCTTCATTACCTTCCCTCTCCTTCACAATCTTATTTTTCACCACTCTTCTTCCCCAGCACCACTTTCTCTACCCTTCAAAACCTTCCCTCTGAATGATTCCTTACAGAGAATCTTGTACACCACATATGTAAGACCAATCCTGGAGTATGCGGTCCCAGCATGGAAAAATGTAGCCAAAGTTATCATTATAAGGAAAAAATTTGGTTGCATATCAGAAACCTCGAAATGTCTACTTTCTGAGTTAGTCCCCTTAGATCAGTGGCGTCCAACCTTTTCAGGAATGTCCCAATTTTTAATACTCTTAAAAACCCCTTGGAGGATTGTGACCCACCAGCTGAAAACCACTGCCCTAGATGTTCCTAAGACAGGCTCACTCAGTGCCTCATCAGACAGGTTCATGATAGTCAGGGCAGTGTGACATTCCATGCCAAGATATAGAATACCTTTTCTCTATGAGAAAATATTGAGGCTGTACGATGGGAATGAAGCCACATCCCTGGACTCCCCAGGCACACACACACACACACAGATTCCTGAGCCTACTGGGCTCTGTCATATCTACATTTAAAACTGTGTATGGAGTCAGTCTCCACCACATCACTGCCTACTGCATTCCACCTGTAAACTACTGTGACACTGAAAAAGTTCTTTCTAACATCCCTGTGGTTCATTTGGGTACTCAGTCTCCACCTGTGTCCCCTTGTTCGCGTACCACCAGTGTTGAATAGTTTATCCTTGTCTACCCTGTCAATTCCCCTGAGGATTTTGTAGGTAGTGATCAAGACAGAAGAGTAATGGGAGACATGATCACTACCTATAAAATCCTCAGGGGAATTGACAGGGTAGACAAGGATAAACTATTCAATACTGGTGGTACGCAAACAAGGGGACACAGGTGGAGACTGAGTACCCAAATGAACCACAGGGATGTTAGAAAGAACTTTTTCAGTGTCACAGTAGTTTACAGGTGGAATGCAGTAGGCAGTGATGTGGTGGAAACTGACTCCATACACAGTTTTAAATGTAGATATGACAGAGCCCAGTAGGCTCAGGAATCTGTGTGTGTGTGTGTGTGCCTGGGGAGTCCAGGGATGTGGCTTCATTCCCATCGTACAGCCTCAATATTTTCTCATAGAGAAAAGGTATTCTATATCTTGGCATGGAATGTCACACTGCCCTGACTATCATGAACCTGTCTGATGAGGCACTGAGTGAGCCTGTCTTAGGAACATCTAGGGCAGTTGTTTTCAGCTGGTGGGTCACAATCCTCCAAGGGGTTTTTAAGAGTATTAAAAATTGGGACATTCCTGAAAAGGTTGGAAGCCACTGATCTAAGGGGACTAACTCAGAAAGTAGACATTTGGAGGTTTCTGATATGCAACCCCATTTTTTCCTTATAATGATAACTTTGGCTACATTTTTCAGCATAAGGTTTTAGTGAACTCATTTCTCACACAGACTGCTGTATGACTTAACCTCTGGTGCCCACTTAAACACAAATTTCTAGATATTGTAAGAATTCTGGGATATAAAGAAACAAAATTGTATAATTATTATTCCATTCATTTCTTTTGAATAATTATTACGTTTCTCACTTTCATGAAATGGGAATGCAACAGTCCAGGAAAAAATTAGGAAATATTGTATAATAAAAAAATATTAAAAAGTATCAAAATCTAGCGAGAATTTGATTCTGAATTCAAAATCCATTACATCTGATATTCTCTAGACCCAAATCTGTCCAATCCATCAGATCTTGTATTTGACCGGCTCTGTTGGTGTGGGAATCCACTGTACATGACAATTCAAAATGATACAATAAAATCTAAGAACAGTAGCCCAACCCTGCAAACTATGGCATTAATACTCACAATACAAAACCCTTGGTGATGAGATCAACCTCCTGCAGGAGTCGCACAGATCTTGAAGCGTTTGTGCTCGTTTCTTTCATCAGCAATACAAATTCTTTTATATTATATGTAAGAATGAGATGACGAATAAATGCAGAGCTGAAAAGTAAAACTACTTTTTATAGTTCCAACATAAATTATAAATTTGTAAATAATATTTAAAAAATATATTGACTGATATTTGATTTTCTTCCAGTGTTTCATGTTCCATTATGCATGTTTAAAAGTATTATATATTATTTGGTTGAGAATATAAAGGCACAAAGATATGTTCCATCATTGAGGGTAAGAAAAGCAAAACACAATTTTCAGTCAAAAAAAAATGCTCAATGGATCATAATCCTTTGTGGAATGGTCCACAGTCTCTACTAGTATTCAGACAAAGCTGCACTGTACAGCACATACAATGTCAACTGAAGCATGGTGAGATAAATATAATAATTAGCATTTGACAATATGCTAAAAGTAAAGTTTCATTCAATATATGATCCAATTTCAACGTTTCTTTATAATCACAACTCACGTTTCTTCCACAATCATAATGCCGGGAAACGTCAAAACAATGGATAAACTCAAGTAGCCGAGCCAAGTTTCACAGGCTAGATACAGCACCAACGGCACACTCAGAAGAAATGAGGTGAATCTGAAAGACAAATGGATATAAGAGACAGTGCTAAGGAAAGAGTGGCTACCCACCTTAAGAAAAGTATTTCTACTATATACAGTAGTCATCTTCTACTGGTCAATAAGTAAAGTATAGTATGGCAATTACATCCAGAATAATGTTTTGTGTAGCCACTCCTATAGCAATTACAAGTTGAATACAGTTCCTGAGACAGGCACAAGTTGTATACATTTCTTGTGAAAGACACAAGTTATATACAGTTTCTGTGATAAACAAAAATTCCTAAAGAGTGTTTAACTTATATTCTCCTGAGAGACATAGGACAAAAAGGAATATGATCAAATTTTACAAGTGAATGAAAGGCATTTACAATGAGATACAGTATAAACAAAGCCTTGTAATTGTTAAATTAAGTCAAAATTTTTAATAATTGTCATATATTATTGCCATAAAAATAAATTCAAAATTAAAATGAATATGTGCAAGTACAGCACAGTATGAGTTTGGCAATATGATAGCAGTCAAATTAAAGAAATTACTAGCTAGCATTAGTGGTTAACTGGTATAAATTATATTTTAGTAGTCATAACAAAAGAGGTTAAGGGTTTTAGTTTACAAAGAAATCTTTATAAAAATACTATACTGTATTGATTACTATAACTGCTTATCACATTGCAAGCAGACATCAACTGCTTCACTTAAGCTCTAGCCAAAATTAAATGAGCAAATTTGTTAAAAATACTTAGGGCAAAATTGCTGGGTCTCTACCACCTGAATACGTATGTAGTACTAAAAAAGTAAAGGAAAAAAAAATATCAGGCTGTTGTGAATGCAAAAATAAAACATGCACATAAAGGTTGTTAGAGTATTTCTTACATTAAATCTGTTTCAGACAGTTTACTTACCCAATGAATAAGACAATCTTATACCAAGAGGTCCATGGAGCAGCAAAAGAGCCAGTGTGATGAAGCTGCTCTCCACCAGGCATAAAGTGTTCTAGGACCAGCCAATCGTCATTGTTCACCAACTTACTCTGCGTAACACACTCTACAATTTTCTTATATCCAACAAGTTCTCGCTATGTAAAAAGAGATACCATTGTTATGAGTGTTTCCTTGCACAAGTTTTTGTAAATACTAAATGATATACCCATAACAGTATTTGCAATATATAGAAATCTTCTAATATAATTGAAATCTCTCTACAAATAAAAAGAGCTCTTATACTGCATGGAAGTGACTTTGTTTGCATCTTACCATGTATGTACCTAAAACAGCTGGATGAAGTCTTGACCATTTCTCTTTCAATGAATCCAGTGTTCCCTGGAATATGTGAATGTCATTATTTTTTATGATTTATAATTTTGTTTTAGTTCAGAAGTGTTACAAGATGAAAATTCACTTTTTCCTAGGCCTTGCATGAACTGTTTCCCGCTAAATGCTCAGCTCAACAAACTGAGTGGAGAAAACCCAGGGTCTACAACAGTGGATGGTTTACCAGAAATTTACCTGGAGAGGATTTCAGAAGTTCTTCTAGTCCCTGTGCCTGGCCTGGGGCCCCTGCAGATTTTGAGAGAGTACTGTATATGCAAAATGATTAAACAAAGGTGAGGAGAAAAAAGGCCCAGCCAGATACCTGGAGGTGGTAAACAAAAAGAACAGCAAAGAAAGCTATTGAAACTCTAAGTGAGAATGAACTCTTTTGCTGTGTACTAGGTTACACTTTGTATATAATTAATGTCTATTAATGTCTATAGTATTATGAAAAATAAAGCAAAAGAATTATATTAGCTCTTATTAGGTCTACTAATTCATCTTGCTTTTAAGCCTAGTATGCCATTTCAAACATTGTATTCTTGGTTTAAGATCCCTTCAAATCATGACTCCCAGATTTCTTTCACATGCAGACTTGGCAATTTCAACAATGTTCAGCTTAAATTTGGCAAGTATTATCATTACCTTGGCATAGAAC